CCCCAAAACCCCAAAACCCCAAAACCCCATGAATGAAATGAATGCAAAATTGTGCATTAGCAGAGTCTATTATAGAGATTAAGTATCCCAATCAATTAATAAACCTATATTTTAAATTTCTAAATATGGTTCTGACTAAGTACAAGAACTTTAAGTAGTTGACTATCTTGGCATTTGGAGTATTGCTGCTATAGATATCCTATACCTCTACAGCTAATATTTTATCACTTATACTGCAGAAAAATGGGTATGGTCCTCTAGGAAATCTTTCTATTGCATGTGTCTACATAGCATGGGGATTGGGAAGTTTATTTTCACCAACAATTTATAAAAGACTGGGCTCTCGCAAAAGTATCTTCTTGGGCGTATCATCTAACGCAATCTGGATATATTCCTCCATTATTTGCCTTCTAGATAAAGATATGTCTCCTAATGCTGAAATTCCTTGGTACAAATCAGAAGTCTTCGGCTATATTATAGTCTTGGGTTGCTCTACATTCAACGGTTTCTTTAACTGCCCTATGTGGGTAGCCTTTTGCAAGTAGATTTCCTCACTATCTAGTAAGGAGACATATGGAACATACTTTAGTTACTTCTGGTGTTACTACATATCCGCACAGATATTTGGAAACTCTTTGGCGTCTCTTGTACTTGAAAAGTTTTCAGAAATAGCTTTCTTTATCATTATGGGCTCAATAGCTATGCTCGCCTCCATATACTTTTGTTTTTTGACTTACCAGGATGATGCCAAACATAAAAATAGTTAGATTAAGGAAAGTTTGTTAAAGGGTAGCAACAAGAGCAGTCTCAATAATACCAAAGAAGTTCAAGATAATCAAGAGGCTAATGCAGTAGAAAAAGAGATAGGAGAAGAGCAGCAATCAGTAAAGTAAGATGTGCTAGATATGTTTAGAATGATAGCCTCCAGAAAGATGAGGTACATGATTCCCTAGATATTCTATACTGGAGTCTCTTTTGCTTTCTATACTGGCTAGTTCATTTCATTCATTTATCTCACCACACCAGCAAACTACACAGAGTAATAGCAGTTTTCTCAATCAATGGGTGTGATGTCTCTACTTGGTTTTGGAGCTTTAGTTGGAGCCTTGGGTATAGGATATACTTATGACAAGCATGGCCATAAAAACGCTGCCTTTTAAAACATAGTGATTTTGATTTTGGTGTCTATCTTTTTATTCGGCTTCATATATAAGAAGTCATATGATGCTATCGTATTTATGATGGTCTTTACCTGGGGAGTTATGGATAGTAGCATGGCTACACACAGCTACACTTCATTAGGTATAGAGTTCAATGATAGTCCAATTGCTTTTGCTATTTATAATACATTCTAGTCTTTAGCTGTTATCATCTTCTCATGTATTAACATTGCGATTAAGGATTGGAATGATTTAGCATATTATGCAGGTGCTATAATTATTCTTGGAGTATTCTGTTTTGGCTTCAATTACAATTTGCCTGATGCTATTGGCGATAGACCTAAAAAGAACAGCCCTAAGCAAGTTACATTTGCTGAAGACCTAGAAGTTATAAATAAAATTGAGTGAATAAAGTTATTTACTTAATCTAAAACTCTATGTTTTATCTTTGCTTGAGGGGTTTTGGGGTTTTGGGGTTTTGGGG